GCACTGTCGGAGGGTCAGTACTGAGGGAGGGGGCACTGTCAGAGGGTCAGTGCTGAGGGAGGACCGCACTGTCGGAGGGTCAGTGCTGAGGGAGCACCGCACTGTCGGAGGGTCAGTGCTGAGGGAGTGCTGCACTGTCTTAAGGAGTGACAGTCTGCTGGGGAAGCCATCTTTTGCTGAGGCACAACTACAGGTTGCAAACAATAGCATAGACTAACTGCGCTTTTTAAAAGTATTATATATTTCCGTTTCATTTCTGAAATTCACTTGTCTGATTTGGCCATCACTGGCTGGGCCCAGCATTTATTGCCCATCCCTAGTTGCCCCTTGAGAAGGTGGGGGTGAGGTGCCTTCTTGAACCGCTGCAGTCCATGTGCTGTAGGTTGACCCACAATGTCCTTAGGGAGAGAATTCCAGGATTTTGACCCAGTGAGGGAACGGTGATATACTTCCAAGTCAGGATGGTCAGTGGCTTGGAGGGGAATTTGCAGGGGGTGGTGTTCCCATGTATCTGCTGCCCTTGTCGTTCTAGAAGGAAGTGCTTGTGCGTTTGGAAGGTGCCTGTACATCCACTCCCTCCACTACCGACGCTCAGTAGCAGCAGTGTGTACTATCTACAAGATGCTCTGCAAAAATTCACCAAAGACCCTCAGACAGCACCTTCCAAACCCATGACCACTTCCATCTAGAAGGACAAGGGCAGCAGATACATGGGAACACCACCCCCTGTAAGTTCCCCTCCAAGCCACTCACCATCCTGACTTGGAAATATATCGCTGTTCCTTCATAGTCGCTGGGTCAAAATCCTCAATTTCCTTCCTGATGGCATTATGGGTTTACCGAGACTAAAAGGTTCAAGTTGGCAGTTCACCACCACCTGCTCAAGGGCAACTAGGGACAGGCAACAAATACCAGCCAGAAACAGCTACATCTCAAGTGAATTAAAAAAAAAACCTTGATAGCCAGAAGCAATATTTTTATATGTGAGCTGTCCTGTGGTGGGTGTGAGTCAAAATGTGCTCTTCCAGCTTTGCTGGAACATAACATGTTAGATAAAGTTAAGATGCAGGAATCAATTCAAGCTTCCAGACGGAACTTCACTCAATGGATAGTGAAAATCTGGACCTCTCTTCCCCCAAAAGCCTGTGGATGCAGGATTAAACCAAATTTTCAGATGAGACTTGATTTTCTTCAGGCAGCAATAGCAAGGGACCTCAAGCCTGAGATAGTAGGAACTGCAGATGCTGGAAAATCCGAGACAACAAGGTGCAGAGCTGGATGAACACAGCAGGCTAAGCAGCATCATAGGAGCAGAAAGGCTGACGTTTCGGGCCTAGACCCTTCTTCAGAAAATCAGATTTTCTGATGAAGGGTCTAGGCCCGAAACGTCAGCCTTTCTGCTCCTATGATGCTGCTTAGCCTGCTGTGTTCATCCAGCTCTGCACCTTGTGACCTCAAGCCTGAGTCGGATTTAATAGTAAAACAGAATTGAGCTGAATGGCCTCCTCCTGTTATCTTCTCAGAGATGAACTATTAGTCTCCTGCCTTCCACAATCACAGTTGGATTGAATTAAGATATAGCTTTAGAAAATATGTGCAGACCACAGCTGGAATATTGTAAACACTTGCGTACTTTATCTGAGGAAGGTGTACTGGTATTGGAGGCTTGCCAGAAAAGGTTCACTTGACCAATTGTGGACAAGGAGAGACTGTCTCTTTTTTATTACTCATTCACAGGATGAGGGTGTCACTGGCCAGGCCAGCTTTACTGACCATCCCTAAATGCCCAGAGGGCATTTAAGAATCAAGCACATGATAGCAGTTTCCTTCCCTAAGGGATGTTAGTGAACTAGATGTCAGGATTTTCCAACAATCAACAATGAATTCACGGCAATCATTAGACACCTAATTTCAGATTTTTATTGAATCCAAATTTGACCATTTGCCATGTTGGGATTTGAACCCTGGTTCCCTGAACATTACCTGGGTCTGTGGGTTAACAGTCCAGCGATAATACCACTTGGCCATCGCCTCCCTGTGTTATAGAGAGCTATTGAGTAAATTGGGTCTGTACTCACTGGTGTTTAGAAATTTGAGCGGTGACCTTACTGAAACATACAAGATCCTTAGGAGAGCTGAAAGGATAATTCTTCTAAAAGGAGTGAATCTGTGGAATTCTTTTCCAGAGAGGGCTGTCAAGGCTGTACCATTAAGTACATTCAAGGCTAAGATGGACAGATTTTTATTTAGTTCCAGAATTGGGGGTTATCAAGAAATGCAGGAAAGTGGATTTGAGGACCATCAGATCTCATTGAATGGATTAGCAGACTTGATGGGCTGAATGGCCTACTTCTACATCATATGGTCTTATTGAGAAACAGAAGAAACAGATAATCTGGAGAGATGAATAGAGGTGGGGAAATGTTCTGATACCAGTTGGTCCGAGCTTGTGGGCTATTCCTGTAATTTCTGTCTACATTGCTGTAGCTATAAGAGCAGTTAGAAAGTATGATATTGGCTACAAAGTACTTTTACTTTGGACTATTCTTGTCAAAGATGTTACATAAATGCAAGTCTTCCTTTCAGAGAAGCGTGTCATGTATGAAGACCCAGCAGTTTGGAATCTGTTAGAGAGAGGCATTGGAATACCCAATCAATCCAGAGGCAATGAAAAACACCACGGTCATTTATAAAATGAAAAGTAAACTTTAATGAACCCTGGAGCACAAAATATACGTCTTTGGTTGTACAAATTCACTAGTTCCAGTCTGAGATGAGCCTAGAGGAAGCAGCAAACTGCTCCTGTTTAATGTAGTGAGAGTGGCTCTCTGCTGTGTCCAGGGATCACCAATGATTCCCACACACAAATCTTTCCAGTTCATAATTAAAATGCGAAACCAGTGGAGAACCTGCATCAAGCTGTCCCGATCACTTAGAACCCCATGCGATTCGACTGAAAACAACTTTCTGCAAATAAGCCCCTAAATGATTTGTACCAAATTTATCCCATTAGCAGCACATTCTAAACTTGCGTGGGTCTGGGACAAGGATCCGAGGACAATCAGAATGATAACTTGTATCCTATTGCTGGGAAGGAGATGGTGAAGTGGGAGGTGTATTATCCACACTGCCCTACAATCATCCATCACTTCTCTACGAGAAGTGGGCAGCAATGTAAGGGATGCTGACTGATATTACACTCCAGGAAACCCCCTATTCCTCACATTCCATCACTGAGAGGGAACAGAGATAGACAGTGGACCCAGGACCATCCATCGCAGCCCACAATGCCTATTCCCACACCCCCCCACGACTGACCTCCCAATTCTCTCAGCAAATTCTCCCACTGGTTCGGAGAAGGTCACAACACGATGACCCCAGCGACAAACTCTGTGTGCTTGGTTGATAACTCCATCCACAGCTGACTAATTATTGAATGCAGTCTCTGTCCCTGATTTGAGCTGAACCAGGCAGGCTTGACCTTCCCTGGACCCTGATATGCTTTAGTGTTAAATGTGATCTCTAAGCCTACAGCCACCCTCCTATCCTTGTGGTAGATAGACTGTCGTAGGCTCCCTCCCCCAGTAGTGCTGAGAGGGTGGGGTCGGGAAGGAGGGGGAAGGGAAGCAGTCCTTAGTTGAATCAAACCTCTGATTCTCTGCTCCATCAGCCATGGTCTCCTTGGCTAGTGATCCCCTCTTCTCTCACAGGGACTTTGTGGCTTCATTACGAAGTTGAGTAGGTGCGCCTCCAGGTTCATGCAGCCTCCACCCTGACCCATCTGCTAACCTCCCCCCTCCCTACCCCCACCTGCCCTCCCCTCCCACCCTCTCCCCTGCCCAGGCCCACGAGGGTCCAGCTGGTAGCCTGGCACTATCCCCTTGTCCATGCAATGCTTTACTCACTCTGGTTTATGAACTACACCCCAAGACACACAATCTGCCACCACTATGAAGCACTAGGATCAAACTGCAGTTCCACATCCTGCTGATCATGCGCGAGGAGATCCGCAGCCCAGGATCAAACTACAACAGGCAGCTTTGGGCTTTGAACCTCAAACCTCTTCCCTACCCTCCCACCCCACTTCCTCATTAAAAACCGTATAAAATCCTACGGGATTAGTCTCTGCCAGAAATTAAAATCCAATTCACCTAAAAACAGAAAAGAACACAGAGTCTGTAAGATGTGAAGTGTGAGCGAGGGCACTTGGTGCTGGGAGGGCAACGTGTCCTTTTGTCAGGGCTCCTCTCACGTCGGCACGGTGCTCTCAGCACTTCGCACATGAGGCTGTAATGAATGCTTGTGGCTGTACATGGTGGCACTGGCCAGTGGGGTCAGTACTGGTAACCGGCGGGTAGTCCCCATCTCCTCGCTGTCCTCACTGAGCCGGGTGACTGAGGGGGAGAGAGATCACACACAGAAAGAGAAAACTCGTTAGAAGAGATCAAAGGGTGAGCCAAGGTGGGGAGTAGGCAAGGCTAGGCTAGGCCAGCTCATGGAGCCAAAGGGGTATGAGGAATGCTGCAATGGGAGACAAGGCTCCAGTTACTGAGCCTGGGGCCCTCAGAGGTTAATGCTTACAAATTAGCTGACAATATCACAGCCATCATTAAAACAATGCACACACAGATAAGCAACTTGAATTGTTAAGTGATTACTTTATGTATGTATATACAGTAAGATTCCACAAAGCAAGTCAGTCAGGCTGGTGAATTTAATATCAATTCAGGATAATATTTGAGTAAGAATAATCAGGGGAAAAGAATGGGCAGGCCCCAAGGAGAGCTGTTGTTAATTGAGCAGGGTCAGTACATTATCAAAAGCTGCTCATACCTGACTAATAGAATTTAACCTTTTAATGGAATTTTAAAAAAATATTTGCCAAGGTATTACATACAAGGCTGGTTAACAAAAGTTAAGCCTCATGAAAAAGAAAGCTATGTAGTCGATTGGGTAAAACAAAACTGATCTAAGGGCAGAACGCAATGAGTTGTGGTGGGAGGTTAATTTTCAGACTGGAGGCTGATAGACAGTGGGAGACCCAGCAATCAGTGCTGAGACCACCGATCTTTTTGCAATACATAAATGGCTCAGGGGTTGGAATACAGAGCTCCGTTTGAAAAAAAAACTGACAATGATACCAAATTCAGAAATATGTCAAACAGTGAGCATGACACCAATGGACTGTGACATGACCTGGACAGGCTGACAGACTGAGCCAACAAAGTGGCAGATGGAGTTTAATACGGAGAGTGTGAGGTGATGTATTTTGCCAGAGGGGATGGGGAGAGGTGATATTGACAAATTGAGACAATTCTGAAACATTTGCAGGGACAGAGGGACCTGTGGCTTCACGTACATTGAGGTTTGAAGGTGGTAGATATATTGGGAGTGTGGTTAGTAAAGCACATGGGGTCCTGGACTCAGCCTTTATAAACCTCTACTTAGGCCCCACTTCCTGTCACTGCCTGTTAGGAAGGATGTGAGGGCCCCAGAGACGGTGCAGAGAGATTTCCCAGAATGATTCCAGGGATAAGGGACTTTAATTACCAGTTTAGTTTGGAGAAGTTGGGGTTGTTCTCATTGGAGCAAAGGCAATCAAGGGTAACTTAGATTGAGGTACAAATAACGACAGGTTTTGAAGAGGTAGGCAAGGACAATTATGCTGCTGTACAAGGACTGGGGGGCATAGATTTAAGGTTTTGGGAAAGAGACACGGGGAACATGAGGAGCTGGGGTGTTTTTTAAACACAGTGAATGGTGATGATCTGATACTCTGTCTTTCTGGGATGGAGGTAGACAGGACAAACGGTTTCAAAGGGAAATTGGAGAGGAATTTGAGGGAAATGAACTTGCAGGGATGTGAGGAGAGCATGGGTGAGTGGGACTGACAGGACTGCTCTACAGGAATGCATCTCTGTGGATTGTGGTGTCACTATGGGTGAGGACATAACACTGCCATGGCTGAGGAACCTTGGAGTATTATTTTGTGCAGGGGGTGCACTGTGAGCTAGGTGGTGTTATTATCCTGTTCTGGAGGCTGGCTTCATATCTGGGACTCACTGGCTTCAGAGACGATGCAGAGTGGTTTCAACAGGCTGATGCCATTTGAGAAGCCTTCAGTGATAGGTTGTACAGATGAGGTTGGCATCTCCACAAGTGGAGAACATTAAATGTCACCCAATTAATGATGATTAAGGAGCTTTTCACATTGATAGAAATTACTTCAAATTGTCATTTGGTAAGTACAGAACTTGAATTTTACTTAAAAAATTATATCAAAGCATTTTGTCTTGAACTCATCAGAACAATTTGCAAGCATTACCAAAGTAAAGGGAAAGCAGTATTTATGATAAATAAGATGAGTGCTGATTGATTAGCAAGTGAACTTGGTTTGGAAGGAATACTGCCACATAGATTGTATTAGTAAATGATGATGTGGACGTGCCGGTGCTGGACTGGGATGGACAAGGTCAGAAATCACACAACACCAGGTTATAGTCCAACAGGTTTATTTGAAAACACAAGCTTTCAGAGTGTAGTTCCTTTGTCAGGTGATGAAGGGGCTACGCTCCAAAAGCTTGTGTTTTCAAATAAACCTGTTGGACTCTGACCTGGTGTCATCTCATTTCTGACCTTAGTAAATAATGACTGACAGTTAACTGTCAAGCCCTGTTTAAATTTTAAACCAGGTAGGCTGATTCTGATTGGTTAACAGGTGGAGCCAGTTGCTTCAGTAGGCTATTACTTTGCAGAAAAGGGCCCTCTTGTGGTGCAGTGTCAGTGTCCCTACCTATGGACTGAGGGTCCTGGGTTCAAGCCCCTCCTGCTCCAGAGGCATGTAATAATATCTCTGAACAGGTTGATTAGAAAACAGATTGCTTTGCATGAACTACACAAGTGATGCTCGCCACTAACAGGACGCTGCTGTCAAACAATGGGGTATATGAATTTCAGTGTCAGTGTGATGCCAAGCTTTGGAGGCCATCCATTCCAAAGACCAACTGATCATATCAAACAGGGTGTCTGTTTGTCTATTTGGAACAAGTTACTGAACATACCGAATCACCCACACCTGCAAAGCTGAAACACAATGTGATTCTGCAATTAGACAACATTGCTCAGAAAATCCTCAGTGTGTGAAGAACCAATTTCACGCTGGCCGTTGGGCTTGTCATCAGTTCTGAGTGACACACTTGCTGTTATCCATTGGTTCATTACTCAGGGCAATACGCTGACCGGAGTCAACTTGCCTGATTTTAAAAAAGTTTGGCAGTTGACTAATGGCTGCATTCTCCATAGCAACACCTCAACCAATAACAGCCCTTTTTCCAGCCAATCAGTCCTCTCCTCTCATGCAGTATAAATGCCGTCTTCCCTTGTATCTGAACTTCTTACAAATTGTCTTGTTGAGTGCAAGACAAAAAGCTTCCCAGAAAGTGTTTTTTCTTTCAGCAACACTCAATAAATTATCGATCTCTATCTGGGTAAACAAGGGGAGAGTGAAATCTCAGCCAGGCTGATTAGGGATGATAGTGGGAGACTGACCTTCACACAAAGGGGAAAGGAAATCTCCCCTCCAGAAAAGTTGCTGAATCTTAGGAGATAATTTAAACTCAAACAAAGATGCTGTTAGACTTTGACTGGGTAAAGTTACTCTCAGGATTATGAACTGAAGGCATGTAGATAGAATGATGACGCTGACCTCTGATCTAAGCTTCTTTAAAATTTGTTTTTAGATGAGTATTGCAGGCAGAACAAGCGCCTATTGTGCGCCTCCTCCAGTAGCTCACTGCCAATCCTACTCACTCTGGGGTGAAAACAAAACATGCTGGAGATCACAGCAGGTCAGGCAGCATGCACAGAGAGAGAGCAAGCTAATGTTTCGAGATTAGATGACTCTTCATCAGAGCTGATGTGAAATGTGGTGGAGGCAACATTTATGCAGTAGTGTGGGGTTGGGGGGGATAGGGTGGAGGAGTGCTGAGGGGGGAAACGATGCTGATAATTCAGATTAAGTGGATGGAATGGGAGAATGGCAGAACAGACAGTCACACTGGGGTTGGGGGGAGGGGAGAGAGGGCATGGTGACAGAGAATGTAACAAAGAGAAGGAGTGGGTTCACAATCTGAATACTAAGTCCAGAAGGCTGTAAAGTGCCTAGTCTGAAGATGACATAACACAGTGTGGAGCTGGAGGAACACAGCAGGCCAGGCAGCATCAGAGAAGCAGGAAAGTCGACGTTTCGGGTCAGGACCCTTCTTCAGAAGTTCTTCCAGTTTGCGTTGTGATTCACTGGAGCACTGCAGCATGCTGAGGACAGACACATGGAGCATGCGAGCAGGATATTGTGTTAAAATAACCGGCTATGGGAAGGTCAAGCTCATACTTGCTCACAGGCCGGAGGTGTTCCGCAAAGCGGTTACCCAGCCTGCGTTTGGTTTCTCCAATGTAGAGTAGGCCACATTGGGTACAGTGGCTACAAAGCACAGATTGGAGGAGGTACAGGTGACTGTTTGGGCCTTTAGATGGTGAGCAGGGAGGAGGCGAAGAGGCAGGTGTTGCACCTTCTGAGGTAACATGGGAAGGTGCTGTGGCCATTGAGGAATAGACTAAGGTGTCCCAGAGTGAACAGTCCCTGCTACATGCAGACAGGGGTGAGCACATGCTGAAGGCAGTAAATCCAGGTTAAAGTGCAAACAGGTCATAACCCCCATCCCAACCCCAACACAGGTTCTGTGCACACACCAGGTCTACCCTACCCCAAATCCACAGCTCCTTAAAGCAGCGACTCTCCTGAAGTAAAAGATCAAAAAGTGTCAGAAGGATGTGCCATCGCAGACTAAGCAGAGAATTTACTGGTGAGAATATAACCCACACTGACTGACTGACACCAACCTCGCTCACACGGAGTTCAATGACTCTCAATGTAGGCCAAAGAGGGCAAAGGTCAAAGGCAGGGACGCCACTGGCTGTCTCATCTGAGCCGAGAGAGTCACTGGCAAAGAGGCGGGGAGAGTGGGGTGATGGGGGGGGATGGGGGGGGGTAGGGGGGGGGGGGGTAGGGCAGAG